GGTCTTACACCTTCTCCTGGTCCTCCTCCGCCTCCCTTCGAGGGTCCACAGCCTGTCCAGTCCCAGTCACAGCTACAGCCTGCCTCCCCTTTGCCTGCTCCTTCTCCCTACGCTGGTCCGACTGGAGGTCTTACTGAGCGTCGTGAGCCTGCGTCTCGTCCTGCGTCGCCTGTTCGTCCTGCACGCACTAGTGGTCGCGGTTCGCGTCAGCGTCCTCCTCCTGTCACTGGCACGCACCGGATGTCTCTGCGTCCGTCCACTGCTCCTCTGCATGCCCCTTTGCCTTCTCCTCCTTAGTCCTCTCTTCCTGCTCTTGCCGACCCGGAGTCGGACTCTCTTCGTGCTGCCAGTCCCACAATCACGCGTCTCCTTGCTACTGCTGTCACTGACCCTTCCTTCGAGTCTTCTGCTGCGTCTGCCCTTGTCACTGAGCTTGTCGACTTTGCTGCGCGCTGTCGTCTAGACTACGCTGCTAGTCTTGTCGCTGAGTCTGAGTCTGCCTGTCCTCCGTCCGTCGGGGGTGAGTGTGCCCTAGGCACGGACGTCCTTGAGGACAGGCAGGAGGAGTTCCAGTGTCTGGCCGCCGCTTCACCTCATCTCGCGTCTGCACTGCTCGCCCCTGAGGGAGACCCGGATGCACTAGACATCCCGACTCCGCGCTCTTACGCGAAGGCGATAGAGGGTCCCTACTCTTCTCAGTGGCAGGCAGCTATGGATGCAGAGATGGCTTCCTGGAAGTCCACAGGCACCTACGTTGACACTGTTCCCCCTCCTGGGGCGAACATCGTCAGTGGCATGTGGATCTTCAGGGTGAAGCGGCCGCCGGGTTCTCCGCCTGTCTTCAAGGCGCGTTACGTGGCTTATGGCTTCAGTCAGCGGCAGGGAGTTGACTACTTTCAGACCTTCTCCCCCACCCCGAAGATGACCACTCTTCGGGTACTGCTGCACGTTGCTGCTCACCGTGACTACGAGCTGCACTCTCTCGACTTCAGCACTGCTTTCTTGCAGGGCAGCCTGCACGAGGAGATCTGGCTGCGTCGCCCACCTGGCTTCACTGGGTCTTTCCCTCCTGGTACCCAGTGGAGTCTCCGGCGTCCAGTTTACGGTCTCCGCCAGGCGCCACGTCGACGACTTGGTCTTTGCCACAGCTGACACTGCTGGACTCGCCCACGTGAAGTCCGAGCTGCAGAAGAGACACACGTGCACTGACCTGGGTGAACTGCGCAGTTACCTTGGCTTGCAGATCACCCGGGACAGAGCACAGCGCACCATTACCCTGACTCAGTCACACATGGTGCAGCAGGTCCTTCAGCGCTTCGGCTTCACGTACTCCTCGCCTCAGGCCACTCCTCTGCCTACTCGCCACTCGCTCTCAGCTCTGCCTTCGGATGAGTCCGTAGAGTCGAGTGGCCCGTATGCAGAGCTTGTTGGCTGCCTCATGTACCTGATGACCTGCACACGACCTGACCTTGCATACCCTCTCAGCATTCTCGCACGCTATGTTGCTCCAGCGAGACACCGACCAGAGCACATGGCTGCAGCGAAGAGGGTGTTGCGCTACTTGTGCAGTACGTCGGGCATGGGGCTAGTGCTTGGAGGGCGCAGTCCAGTGGTCCTCACTGGGCACGCGGACGCTTCTTGGGCTGACGACCAGGCTACGCAGCGGTCGTCACAGGGTTACACCTTCGGCCTTGGTTCCGGCTCTGTTTCGTGGCGGGCTACTCGCTCGTCTTCTGTTCTCGGCTCCAGTTGTGAGGCTGAGATCTACGCCGGGGCTATGGCTGCTCAGGAGCTTCGCTGGCTCACCTACCTGCTGACCGACCTTGGAGAGCCGCCTCGTTCTCCTCCAGTCCTGTACGTAGACAACAAGGCCATGCTGGCCTTGTGTCGAGAGCAGCGACTGGAGCACAGGACAAAGCACATTGCTCTCCGCTACTTTCTTGCTCGTGAGCTACAGCAGCGTGGACAGTTGCGACTTGCGTACGTGGCCTCTGAGGCCAACACTGCTGATGTCTTCACCAAGGCACTTGCGCCTTGTGATCATCAGCGTTGCTGCACGCAGCTAGGTCTTGTGCCTGTCTTGCCTCACTTGCTCACTTCTTGACCTTGCTTGTACCTTGACCTATATATACTCTTGCTCTGGCTTGCTTGACTCTTGTATATCTCTATATATGATCTTGCATGTGAACTGGCCTTGTGGCCCTTGAACTTGTGCTCGGAATGTGTGGTGACTTTGTGATCCACCCTGAGCTTTGCTTTGCTTTGCTTGACTGGTCTTGTGACCCCTTGTTCTCCCCCACTTTGCCTATGGGGGTGTGTCAGAACATTATAGCTTACTTATTTGTGTAGGCTATAGTGGGGTATCCCATAGGGGGTACAACCCAATTAGGGTTTCATATTTGTACTCACTTTATTCATAGTTCATTCATTCCTCGTTCACTTCTTCTCAAAGCGAAGGGTACGAAACGAAGCCAAATCGCTAGGTGTAGCCGAACCTTCTAGGTTTGTAAATTTGGTTCGGATCCAAACCTAAAATGCCCCAGAATCGTCGAAAGTCTCACGTACTCAAAAGTTGTTGTGCAATTGCTTTGAGGCACTAACGGGGGTAGGTTTCCAACCCAACCAAAGAGAAATTCGCCTGCACTAACTAAGTAACCTAGCTTCAACTGCTTTGCAGTTGATGGCTGCTTTACTTACTTGAGACCCTAGCTTTAAAAAAACCATCAAAACACCCACATTGACTAATTGAAAAAACACTAACACTAAAATATGCCATATGAAAAGACCCGGGTATTATGTATTTTTTTCCTATAAGGAGATCCCCCCCATTTTTTCCGTGTATTTTTAGCTATACCCTAGGGTGTTATGTCCGGGAAAATACGGTAAGGACAAGGACCTCCCCCCCCCCCTAAGGAGGCCCTCTTTACGAAAGCGCGTGTACATCCCGGAAATTGCGGCTGCGTAGGTACTCGTTGAGGACGGGGTGTTTTTCAATTCTGTCCAGGGGAACCCACTTGTCTTCGGTGAGCGTGCGATCTTTCCAGTGTCAGAAACAGCAGTAGAACGATAGAACAGAAAAGGAGGGCTTCACTAGTAAGCAGGGCAGTACATATAGCAAACCCTAATTTGGGTTGTACTCACTATAGAGTACCCCACTGCAGACTAGACAATTATAACATTCTGACACACCCCCATAGGCAAAGTGGGGTATAATCAGTACAACAAGCAATCATAAATAAGTGCACAAGCACAACCAAAGCTAGAGGCAATCACAGAGAGCAAGTGAGGAGGAGGGAATGTGAGAGGAGAGGAGAAGAGAGGCGACGGCTGAAGCTGCAGACACACGGGCAACAGGAGCAGCTGGCACAGTGGCTACCGAGAGCACAATGGCTATGGACTACTGGGGTAACTGGCTCCACGGCTACGACGAGCGGCAGGAGCAATGGACCCACGAGCGACTGGCGCAGCACGCTCGCTGGGCTACCGAGAGCACGCCGGCTCCGAACTACTGGCGCTGCTGGCGACACGACGGCTACCTCTGCGCAACCTACGCCAACTGCCCCACACCCCTTTCACACACCCCATGCTGCACCCCTAGCTCCACTTCCATCAAGTGCTGGCCAGGCCATCAAGTGCTGGCCAGGCCATCAAGTGCTGGCAAGGCTATCAAGTGCTGGCCAGGCCATCAAGTGCTGGCCAGGCCATCAAGTGCTGGCCAGGCCATCAAGGTGACTTCTGAGTCGACTCAAAAGTCACCTTCCCGTCTGGCCCACATTCTGGCGCAAGTGCTGGCGAGGCCATTAAGCACCAACATCTCTCAACCATCCCCCTCCTTCCCTTTTTCCCTTCTCGTCTCTTCCCTCACCATTCCCCCAATTCGTCGCTCCAGCCTCCCCCGCTCCCTGGCGCAGGTGTTAGCTGGCGATGCAAGCACACACCAACATCTTTCAACCATCCCCTTCCCTTCTTCCTTTCTCCTCTCTCCCCTCACCATCCCCCCACTTCTTTCCCCAGCCTCCCTCGCTCCCTGGTGCAGGTGCTAGCTGGAGATGCAATCAAGCATGCAATCCCGCTCACCAATCGCATGCTGACACCTGGCAGACAGCTGGAGCTCTTCACCGTCTCCAGGTGGGCACATGGTGGCAAGCCGTGTGCTTGGCTGACATGCCATGGGTTTCAAGGCACGCCTGGCGCCTTTTAGGCCTCTTCAATTAAACCATGCAGTCATGCACTCCTGACATGCAGTATTTTGGCTGCCCATAGCTTATTACGTGTCTATGGTTGATGATGACGTGTCCATTGCTTTTGATGGTGTGTGCATGGAGTATGATGTGTGCATGGGTTGATGTATCCATGTGTGCCATGCAGGGAGAGGGCATGGGCGGTGGTGAAGCAGCGGTGGAGAAAGCATCTTGAGACAGAGCTCACCACCCACCTCAAATGGGTACGCCCTGTGCTTTCTTGCTGTGCCTCGGCCTGCCCTGTGCTGCGCTCTGCCTTGCACTGCTTGCGTTGGCCTGCTCTCTCAAGCTATAGTGCTCTTTTTCTACAAACCCCATGTCATGCGACGACATGCCACGTTACCATGGTGTGCCATCATGCGACAATCCCTATCATGCCCACTCACATGAACTCCGCCATTCCCTGCCCAATCTCCCCTGCCCAATCTCCCCTGCCCAATCTCCCCTGCCCAATCTCCCCTGCCCAATCTCCCCTGCCCAATCTCCCCTACCCAATCCCCCCTGCCCAATCCCCCCTGCCCAATCCCCCCAGCCCAATCTCCCCTGCCCAATCCCCCCAGCCCAATCTCCCCTGCCCAATCCCTGCCCAATCCCCGCTGCCTAATCCCTGCCCAATCCCCCATTTCCCAGCCCCCCTTGCGCAATCACTCCTACCAGCGTTATGAAGCAGAGCAGGTGTCCGACCTGGACATTCACCTCACCGTTCATTCCATGCCCATGCCGCCCCGTCCATTCCCCCCTGCCCAATCCCACCTGCCAATGCGCCCCTACAAGCACTATGAAGCGGAGGAGGTGCCGGATCTGGACATGCATCTCACCGTGCACTCCGCCACTCTCCCCGTCCCTCCCACCCACTCCCCCCTCCCTCCCACCCACCCTTCCCCTCCCCCCCAATCCCCCCTACCAGCGCTATGAAGTGGAGCAGGTCTCAGACCTGGACATGCATCTCACCGTGCACTCCGTGTCCGCTAAGGTGCGCTCTCTCCCTTGCACCCACCCTCACTCACCTCGACTTCATCGCCTTCTGATGCGCGCTTGCCTTTGCTCCCACTCACCTTCTTTGTCTTCTGCTTACACGCCTTGCTCGCTAGTTGTGATCATCTTTTCTCTTAACACCGCCGTCCGTGTGTGTGCTACTGCCATCAGTGCCACTGCCTTTGGAGAACTGGCCAATCAGTCGGGTGTTTTCCTCCATCTGTTGCATCTGCTCGACTTTGTCTTGACCTTGTAAACGTGTCAATTTTTCATTGGCTCTGCTGCCACCCGTTGCCAAGCAGAGCAGCCCATCTTCCTGCCGTCCTACGTGGCATCCTACTATCATGACAGCTGGCGCCACACGGCCGTCATCACTGCCACGTCAGCACCATCCACCGCGCCAGCTGTCGCCGCGGAACGCCTCTTCTCCCAACCCAAATCCACGCTGGCAGCAACGGCCGCACTGACAACTGGCGCCGCGCTACTGGACCTGGTTCTCCTGGGGGGCAGCGTGCCTTGGCTTTTCCACTTGGCGTCAACCGCATGGTGGATGACAGTTGGTGCGCTCTCATTGGCTGCTGGGTGGCTTGCCAGGGTGTCCCCTCGGCTCGCTATGATTCGTCGGGGCGTGCAGCACGCTAGGGAGGTGGCTAAAGTGGCAACAGGAGGGGGGCTGTGGGGGGAAGGAGGGGGGATGGAGGAGGAGGTGGAGGAGGAGGAGGAGGAGGAGGAGGAGGAGGAGGAGGAGGAGGAGGAGGAGGAGGAGGAGGAGGGGGGTGAGTTTAGCAGGGCGGAAAGGGGAGAGGCGAGAGGGCGAGGGGCGGGAGGAGGTGAAAGGCATGAGAGTCCATTTGAGAACCCGTTTGATGGATTCCCAGGGTGAGTTGACTAATGCACTTGTTCCAGGTGAGGCGCATGGGAGTTAGGGGTGAAGGCAGCATAGTCGGAAGGGGGCAGTAGAATCCGTGTGGAACAGGTTAGTGGGGAAAGAAAGGAGAACATCAAGTGTGTGTGCGTGTGATGAACACTTTGGAAGGTGGCCTACGGGGCTGGTCTGGCTGCAGATCTGGTCTGGCTGCAGATCTGGTCTGGCTGCAGATCTGGTTTGGCTGCAGATCTGGTCTGGCTGCAGATCTGGTCTGGCTGCAGATCTGGTCTGGCTGCAGATCTGGTCTGGCTGCAGATCTGGTTTGGCTGCAGATCTGGTCTGGCTACAGATCTGGTCTGGCTGCAGATCTGGTCTGGCTGCAGATCTGGTTTGGCTGGGAGGGCTGGTTTGGATTGGTTGGATTTGGGAGGGCCTTGAAGAGTCGGTTGAGGGGAATGCAGGATGGCTGTGGCAGTTCAACCGGGTGTGCGTTATGGGTGCTCCAAGCTGCATGTGTTGGGATGGGAAGCATGTGCTGCATCACCATTGCCAACACCAAGAGCACCGATTTCTGCAACCCATCTCATGCCCGATCCAATCGTGCCCGAATCCAATCGTGCCTGAATCCAATCGTGCCTTAATCCAATCGTGCCTGAATCCAATCGTGCCTGAATCCAATCGTGCCTGAATTCTTTCGTGCCTGGATCCAATCGTGCCTGGATTTTGGATTGACTGATTGCACCAAGTCTTGCTCCTTCTCTCCCACTCGTCGTCCTCATTCTCGGCGCAAGTTGGCCTCTAAGCCCAAGTTGCCGACTGCCTCCATCCTCAAGCCATCACTTTTTCCGACTTGTCTCGATTCATGTGATGTGTCCCCCCCGCATCACATGCATGTGATGTGTCAAGTCCATCTTCTGATGCACGCAGCACACTTGCCACCTCAACCCCCACACTCGTCATCTTTGCCCTTTCCGCACTCAAACCTAATCCCATAACCACTTCTTTTTCCAACCCATCCCGTACTCTCCACCATCATGTCCCACTCTCTTCCCAAACCTCCACTACAGGTTTGGTAACTTCCGGGTCTTCCGCCGAGCCTTCGTCAGTCCGGAGGATGTGTGGAGGGAATTTGAACGCATGGCTCGGGGAGGAGCCTCGTCCTGGCCTGGTGGCAGCTTCGGCAGCAGCAGCTACCAACGCACTCAGCAACATCAGCAGCAGCAGCAGCAGCAGCAGCAGCAGCAGCAACGGCAACAGCAGCAGGGATCAAGGCAGACAAGATCAGGTTGGGATAGCTCATATCCCAAGGGGTACTATGCTGCTCTGGAACTGGCCGGCAAAGGGCGACAAGCGAGTCAGCAGGAGATCAAATCTGTGTTCCTCCAGCTGGCAATGGAGACACATCCAGACAGGCAGCCTGACGAGGGGAAGTGGCGGGCGGCAGAGGAGCGGTTCAAGAGGATTGCAGAGGCGTACGAGGTGCTGCGGGATCCCAGCAAACACAGTGCCTACGACAGCGGTGCGCTGTGAGGTGTGAGGTGTGTGGGGTGTAATGGCAGTGCAATGGAATGTAAGGTGGGGCAGCAGTATGCAAACAAGGGAGGAGGCGTATGAGGTGCTGCGGTATCCCAGCAAGCGCAGTGCCTATGACAGTGGTGTACTGTGAGGTGTTGGGATGTGATGGGTGGGACTTGAGCATGCAGATGATGGGAGGAGGAGGCGTATGAGGTGCTGCAGAATCCCAGAAAGCGCAGAGCGGAGCGCTCTGAGGTGTTGGGGTGTGATGGCAGTGCAATGTGGAGTGTGGGGAATGGACAGGAGCATGCAGACAAGGGGATGAGGCGGGCGGCGGAAGAGCAGTTCAAGAGGATTGCGGGGATCCCGCATATCATGTGCACTGTGCTGTGGGATCCCTCCAAGCACAGTGTCTATGACAGCGGGGTGCTGTGATGGCAATGTACTGCGCAAGATATGCTGTGTTCTGCGAGCTGTGTGCTGCAAGCTGTTACTGCAGGGTGCACACATGATGTGACAACAGAGTGCAGAAAGAGACTCGCGACGATGCGTTCAAACAGGAGTGTTTGCAGTTTTTCTATTTGTAACCTGGCTCAAATTGGTGGAGGCTACAATGCAACCACTGTGTCGTCATGCCATGGGTTGCAAAAAGGTGTCCTGCACACAGCTGCATCCATGCAATGCATCAGCCAATGTCAACGAACTAAACGACATCTATTTCTTTAGTCTGTTTCAGTAAAAAGCAAACTCGAAATGTACTGTTTCTGTACTTACCATACATCTTGCTTTCTTTTAGAAATTCCACCATTGCAATCAGTCAGCCAACATCAAGGCAAACTCTCTCGCTGTGTATGTGTAGACAGGAAGCCGCACTACAACCCTATGTACGCTCCAATACCAGGAAGGAACTCCCTCTAAACGCCCCTCACATACGTTTTATCGCACATGTATTTGTGTTGTGGGTTCATGCTAGCAGCATATTGCTTATCACCCAACGCCAGTCACGAGCTGCTGGTACCACCACCACCCACATGCATCGCACGTGCAAGCTCCGCATCAAAGTCAGCAGCGCCAGCAGCGCCCTCTATCTCCCTGTCGATGCGCACAGCAGCGCGGTCCACCTCCCGCCCCGCCACCTCCTGCTGCATGGCCTGCAGCTGCCCCACTACCTGCGCCATGGTGGGGCGTGACGCCGTGGGCATGGCCGTGCAGGCGAGGGCAAGGCGGGCCAGACGCAGCAGCAGGTCGTCTGGGGCGACTAGGTGAGGGTCCTTAAAGGCTGCTACGGTGTTGGATGCCACTAGTGGCGCCACCTGGGAGTGGTGTGGGGGGTATGGGGCACGTGAGTGCAAGGCGAGGGCAATGCGGGCCAGATGCAGTAGCAGGTCGTCTGGGGCGACCAGGTGAGGGTCCTTGAAGGCTGCTACGGAGGTTGATGATACTAGTGGCGCCACCTTGGAGGGGTTTAGGGGGCGCATTTGAGTCGACTCAAAAGTCACATCATATGCAGTAGCAGGTCGCCTGGGGCGACCAGATGAGGGTCCTTGAAGGCTGCTACGGAGCTTGATGATACTAAGAGAGCCACATGGTAGAGGGTTTGGGGGAGGTGGGAGGTGTGGGTATTATGAGATACGTAAATGCAAGATGAGGGAGAGGCGAGCCAGGCGCAGCAGCAAATCGACTGGGGACACAAGGTGAGGGTTTTTGAAGCTGCTACGGTGCTGGATGCCACTAGCAGCGCCACCTGGGGGGGGATTGAGGGGGGAGTGTGGGGGTTGTGGGGCATGTGAGTGCAAGGTGAGAAAGAGGTGAGCCAGGCACAGCAGCAGGTCGTGTGGGGCGAGCAGAAGAGGGCCCTTGAAGGCTGCCATGGCGTCACCTCAGGCTACGATGGTACGGCATCACTGGGTGCTGTTAGCGAAGCCACCTGGGAGCGGGTGAAGGGGAGGTTTGAATCGACTCAGAAGTCACCTCGGGCGCATCAGTAGGTCCTCTAGTGTGGTGAGGTGAGGGTCCTTGATGGCTGCTACAAAAGGGGATGCCAATAATAGCGCCACCGGGAGAGGGTGGTTGTGGAGGGCATGGGGGTTATGGGGCATGTGAGTGCAAGGCGAGGTGAGTGCAAGGCGAGGTGAGTGGCCGCATCTTTGGAACACAGAGGCATCTCTCAAGGCGAGATGAGGATGCTTGGTGCCCATGATTGCATTTCAGGCAACAGTGGGGTGGGGGCTGTGCTTGCTGTGAGAAAACAAGTAGAACAGTGGGAAGTTAGGGTCGTGTTGAAGGGAAAGGGGGAATGGCGTGAGAAAATTGATGATTTCGGAATGGAGTGAAGAGTCAGTGGGAGGGATGGCACGCACATAGCCGCACCACAGCACATAGCCGCACCACAGCACATAGCCGCACCACAGCAGATAGCTGCACCACAGCACATAGTCTCCTTGTGCCAAGTCCTTCAGTCAGGTTGTTTGGACTATCCTCAAAGGATTCTCACTAACAAATAAAAAAACATTCAAAAATATTCCTCTAGTTGACCTGATAGTTGGTGTTGAGAATTCTCAACAGGGACTACCGTACCCAGTTCTTCAGGTTGATCTGACTGTCCTCTGTCACGTAGATGGGCTTGCGTGCCGTGATGACCACCAGCACCAACATGCCGAAGCTGCCACAACAAACATGGAAATGGGCCATGAGAGAAGTCTTTGGCATGTGATGGAGATATGTGGCATGTGATGGAGATATGTGGCATGTGACGGAGAGATGTGGCATGTGACGGACCCTCGAAATGATCCTGAGAATTGGTAGGAAATGCCCCATCATCAAGGCAGCTTGGCTCGGATATATGGCCAGCATCATCTATTGAGCTCGGATATATAGGCGGCATCATCTAGGCACCTCGGATATATGGATGGCATCATCTAGACACCTTAAATTATGGGCGACATCATCTAGGCAACTCGGATGTATGGGCGGCATCATCTAGACACCTCGGACATATGGGCGGCATCATCTAGATACCTTGGATATATAGGCGGCATCATCTAAGCATCTCGGACATATGGATGGCATCATCTAGACACCTTCAATTATGGGCGGCAACATCTAGGCACCTCGTATTTATGGGCGGCATCTTCTAGACACCTTGGATATATGGGAGGCATCATCTGTTATATCATCTAAGCAGCTCATGAACAGGACAGCCTGCCGTGACCTCGCTGTTTCACACCTTACCTGCGCACGTCTATTGCGGGAGTGGCCTTGTGAGACATATAGCCCGGTGTGCCCATCATCCTTGTGCACCGCACTGTACCTGTGCACGTCGGCAGCTGGAGTGGCCTTGTGTAACATGTAGTAAGCGGTGTCCACATAGCCCGGTGTGCCCATCACTCGAGTCGCTGCCACTGACGTGCCCTCCCCAAGCCTCAGAAGCCCAAAGTCCGCCACCTTAGCCTGCACACATACCAGTTGTGATCAGAGGCTTTATTACTGAGTGATGGAGCACACCTGTTGAGCTGAGTGGTCAACTTTTCCTGCATATCTGATAGATAATTGATGGATAACGGATGGATTGGTGAATTAGGGAAAATGGATTGATGGAAGTGCTGTTGCAAGTGAGACAACAATATTCTGATGCCTTCACTGTTTTGTCACAATCCCTTCATTCCCTACCTCCATCACTCGTGGCATTACAGGAAACTCATGTCTAGATCAGGTTCCAAATATATGATAGCTCTGTGCATACGCGCATATGACTCGGGCAAGCTAGCTAGCTCCACTGTCAAAGAAAGCCGGTCAAGGTGGCAAGTGCAGGCCACACATGTTTCATGAGATGGTTTTTAGGGCACCTGGGAAGTACCTGCATCTTGGCATTGAGAAGCATGTTGGCAGGCTTGATGTCACGGTGCACGATGCCAAAGTCATGCAGGTACTGCAACCCCTTGCCCACCCCTATGAGGATGTCCAGGCGCCGCACCAGCGACAGAGGCTTGGAGGCTCCTGCACGAGGAAACAACAAAAACAATCAAAACGAGAGAAAACCATGTTTTCCTTGTGTAACTTGTGGCTTAGCTTCCAAGCTGTGGCGAGGTAATAGGGAGGGGCGGGCCACGATGCACTCATGCAATCACGAGGACGTGTCCATTGTAAACCAGGTATAGAGGGGGTACGTTTCTACTTTCTACTCTCCTCCCCAACAAAGACACCCCCCTGCTCCTAGCTGTGCTTCACCTTGTTCCGCGTACTGATCGAGATGCACTGCTGCATGCTATCCACGGGTTGTGAATAAGACCCCCCAATTTCTACTGAGTAGGTAACTTACATTTATAGAAAAGGGAATAGGATGGGATGGCACCATACATATATTCATAAAATCAAGCAACCACTTGACTTGAACCACGTGATTAACTGGTCCAATCCACGTCATCACCTGGCCCAATCCAAATCATCACTACTTCCAGGTCGCCATTTTCCATGAACTCATACGCCAAGATCTGCTCCATGTGCCCTGTCACTGCATCATAGTCCTTCCAAAACTGACTTTTGAGCCGACTCAAAAGTCAGCTCGTTACAATGGCACAGGACACTCGTTGAGCCGACTCAGTCATCACCTGGTCCAATCCACGCCTCCAGGTCGCCATTCTCCATGAACTCGTACACTGAAATATGCTCCATATGAATACCAAGTAAAAACCGTGTAATTGCCTGGTCCACACCGTGTGATTACCTTGTCCCAACCCTTTGCTACAAACCCTTACCTGGTCCGAACAGTGCAATTACCCGGTCCAAATCATGTGATTACCCAGTCAAAACCAACCAATTTCCGGACCAAACCATGCGATTACCATGTCCTATCATCACCTCATCTAATCCAGGCCTCATGGTCGCCGCTCTCCATACACCATGATCCGCTCCATGTGCCCTGTCGCGTCACAGTTTTTGCAGAATTGATTAATGAGCCGACTTAAAAGTCACCCCGTTACAATGGCACACTACAGTGTTTGAGTCGACCATGTCATCACCTGGTCCAATCCACGCCTCCAGGTCCCCATTCTCCATGAACTCGTACACCAGGATCTGCTCCATATGCCCCGTCGCTACATCATAGTCCTTGCAGAACCCCAGCAGCCGCACCAGATTCAGGTGGTTCTTTGTTGCCATCTCCCGCACCTGCCATGACAGGTGATTTTGATTGGCATATATAATTAGAAACTTAGGTGAAACACAGCTAAGAGAACGAGCAACTGCTTGTGAAGCAGGGTAGGGCAGTGGTATGCAGGAAAAGATTAAGATTCATTGGACTCTCGCAGGCAGAGAAGTGAAGCCATGAAACAGATAAAAGCACGACCAATTCTAAAAGGACTAGGAAGCACATCATGTACAAATGCTACACATTCTGGTATTACGGTCCCCCCCCCCCCAAAAAAAGCAGACGCACAGATGTGCATACCTCCCTCTGGAAGTCGTTCGTTAAAACTCTGCCCCGCTTCACAACCCACAGCTCGCTCGGATCGTACCGAGACACTCCCTTGTGCACATCTCCAAAGCTCCCACTCCCAATCCTGTTGCCCTCCGCCCATTGGTTCGTTGCTCGTGCCAGCTCATCCAGTGAATACTCCCGACACACATTTCCCCACGCGGGTTCTACTACTACCACATGTGCTCCCTGTCCCCCTGCCCCTCCTGCTAGTGCTGCCCCTGCCGATGCTGATTCAGCTGCTGTGGCTGCAATAGTGGGGACAGGAAGAGATTGGTGGCCCATCATGCATGTTGAGACTCCGGCTGAACACAGACTTGTTGGAGTGCAACGTGCGTGCGTGGCTAGAATACGAGACAACAATTTGAATAGTGAGGCACAGCAATACACGTTCCACAAAGCAATGTAGCATATGTCCACCATGCGCCAACCATGTGCCAACCATGTGCCAACCATGTGCCCACCATGTGCCAACCATGCGCCAACCATGTGCCAACCATGTCCCAACCACGTGCCCACCATGTGCCAACCACGTGCCCACCATGTGCCAACCATATGCCCACAATGCGGGACGAGTTCATAAACGGTCCATACCCAGCAATGCAGCATGCATGCGAGCTCACCTGTGGCCTACAGCCTACAGGCCAGCTCATCTCTGGGTTTTTTGCTAGTTCACATTGATCGCTTGTCTTCTTGGCTGCCTTGTGCCTTCGCTGGCGCAGCAGAAACCAGACCATGAGCAGCAGCAGCAGAGCAACCACAGCCAAAGCAGCAATGGCAATGATGGCTCCCGTCAACAAGCCACCTCCCCCACCAAAGGCAGGTGCGGAAGATGAGGAATAAGATGGCAAGGATGCGGAGGATGAGGAAGCAAATGAGGGAGACGAAGTGGATGGGGGGGATGGCGATAGTGGAGGAGAGGTAGGTGGAAGGAGAACAGGAGGTGAAAGAGAGGGTGGGGCGATGGAAGGAGAAGGAGGGGGGCTTGATGGGGGCGCTGAATGGGATGTGGTTGGGAGCACGATGGATGGGGCGGGGTGGATAATAAGGTGATCAAGGTCAATAAATATTAGTTTGCATCACTTGTTAACATTGAAAGTGCCTGTCGTGTCATGAACTTGGTGTTGCATGCCTACTACTTTGCTATGCATTAAGACTGTTTTAGAAAGATTATGTGGTTGCTTGAGCAGCGGTCCTGTATATCTGGAATCGTCGTCACCCCGCTATTAAAACTGGGGCCGTGCTTGTAGTCACATGACGGGGCTGTGCTTCTATATAGGATACACTGAAACAAATCAACCAAAAAAATGTAGAGCGTGCTGCGAAAAAAAAAAAAAAAACAAACAAACAAACAGAAAATATATATATATATATACATAGCATTCAATGATTTCATCAGTAGTAATGGTAATAGGGGCAAGAATAGTTCTGTTGGTACCTAGAAAACGGTAATACAACAACAACTCACCCACAGGCTCAGAGCACGTGTCACAGAAGGACGTGCACATGTCATAGAAAGCGCTTGATGGGTTCTGAGTTACAACACAGCTACTGCTCTCAGGTGGGCAGGTGAGGCCACTGCTAGAGAATTTACTGCGAGCGATGAGCAACCAGGGGGGCTCAGGC